GGGACGGTTGGAATAGTTGGAAGTTCGCTAGGCATTTTCCGCATAGGATATGCAGACAGGGAAGGATCTGGCAAATTGGGACCAGTCGTGTCGATCGGTGCACAGCAGTATGAATCCTGAAATTGCCATTTCACAATTCACCATTCCCACTAATCTTTGCGGTGCATTCCACGCTTAACGTGTAGGCGGAACCATAGCGCCATTGCGCGCTTCTATTGGTGGACTTCTTTCAAGAATGGAAACGAGGAACGCACCAATTACGAGCGCGCAATGCACAAGTGACTCCGCCTCCAGTGGAGCGGTCAACAGAATCGTCCGGAAGTGGCGCCGTCGCGCGCGGTTACTTGCGCGGCGTCGTAACGCGGCAGTTTTTCGATGGGCGCGGCAATAATTGACTTTGTCGATTGGAGCGATGAATTAGCTGCAGTCCACATTAATCAAGCGGACATCGAAGTCCATTTTGCTTGTTGAGATACCTTTTTCTTCCATAACACTGCGTCAGATTCACGAGAAAGCTCAGTTTAGGACTGATCGTTAGCCTCAGAGAAGAAGAGGGCTTCCGAAGTGCGTAAGTAGTTCTCATTCTGTCCCGAATTCGTCCCTCTCCGTCAGGCGTAATCCTAGTGGGCTTCCTACAGACTGCCCCCCCCCTCCCCGGAGGCACATTGCGCCATATACTACCGTTTCACAGCGAAAGAATACGAGGAAATTTTGGAAAACACTTTGTCGACCTCGAGAAAGGAATTTTCTGGTCTGAATTCTGACTTTGCTGAGGTTTTTCTATGCAGTAAAAACCTCAGCAAGGTCAGAATTCAGACCAGAAAATCAGAATAAACAGAAAACTGGAACACAACAATTCTCCTGCATTACATGCGAACGGGAAAAGGAACATCCCTTTAACATTCAATCGAAGGACGCTCACGGAAACTCGTCCACCGCATCGCGTCGTCGCGACTGCGACCTCTAGCTTGGGTCTTCGGACGACTCTGTTGACACGCACCTCCGCCTCCACGATCAGCGTGGTGATATGAGGTTTTTTAAAAAAATGTAACCACGCAACACTGCTTTCTTACCTGCTTCATCGCTGAATATATGCAAACGTATGGTGCCGTCGTCGGGCATGGATTCAATTGCATATGACAGGTGGGTGGAAAGCCTTCACGGGATACGTACGGAATTTGATTCGGTGGACAGAAACCTTAACACTACTTCGATGAAACGACTGATTCAGTTCTACTGTTTAAGCTCAAACAACGTTGCAAATGGCAACAAGCGTATCTTTACCACTACTACTTGTGGTCTGCGCCTTTGTAGCTAAAAAAAAAAAATCAAAATAACAAACCTTTAAACTGCTCACTGAGATCGCCTTCGTTACAGCATATATACTGTCCAGGATAATCGGATTCCATGCACTGATAACCGATAGGGCACGAATCTCTCAACGGCGAGCAGAATTGGCGTTGATTCAAAGCTAAAGGAGTCACTTTACTTTTACCCAACGATAATCATCAATTTACATCATGTCATCATCATTTATTTCATATTTATCGAGTTTTGCATTTTTGGAAATTTTCGAGAATCTAAAAATATTATCTAGTGGCCCCAAAGCGGATCATGCTCTTAAGAAGACAAGCTGTCACACGATGACCTTATGGAAGCTACCCAAAGCCGTAGTTTTTTTTTGGAGGGGGGGGGGAGAGTCTCATATTGTTTAGCTAAAGCTTGGGTTGTAAAGCACGTGCGTCGGGTTTCTGTAGTTGATGATTGCAGATCATCCACCAATCACGGGCATCCCTCACGCGGTCCAAGGTCCCACCTCCTTTCACCACAAGTTTCCATGTATGGTGAGTAGAACTATGTCAATAAGTTCACTAATCAGTTAATTGCCTGCATAGCTTACCGGGATCAACATATGCAGAACCACGTAAGCATTGTGGCGATGGAAGATGTGGTTGTGCCATGAAAGTGCCTGTCGTACAGCAAAGATGATACTGTGGATTCATCGAAGCGACGCAGTTGTATCCATTAGGACATCTAAATGGTTCAATATTTTCACCTGTTATTTTACTTAGTACAGTACGGTTTTGATAAAGCTACGGCGGTCTAGTAACAATTAGCAAAGAAGTTCTGGCCAGGTGAACTACAAACGCTCTACTTGAGCAGTTTTCAGAAAAGCTGCTCCAAATGTCCAGGGGTGCGCAGCAATATAGTTGATTCGACCGCACAAGCAAGTGATCTATTGGTCCAGTCCCAGTGCAGCCGCACGCGCCTCGTGGCGAACGTCACAAATAAGGTTAAAGGAAGCGATTACGATAAGGAATTTTCGCATCGGGGAGAACCTGCGCCACACGGAGCAATTACTTGGCTGCCAAGGAAGCGATGTGTGGCGCTTCCACGGCGAAAGGTGCTGTGGTTGCTGAGCAGGACCTCCGCAGCACTCCGCCCCCAAAGCGATCCGCCCACAAGTTTACTTGTTGATTTGGACGAGCTGCGTGCCAGCAGCGGCGCAAATGGAGCATCTCGATTAAAGCGTGTTTGGCATGGTGCCATCAAACGCGTTGCGGTGAACTCGTTCATACGTCCACTTTCTGAGCTGTTACCTGTTCATGAGTTGAAACCAATGGCCAGAGAAGGACGGATTTTTCTGCTTTTCTCCGATGCTGGGGTACCATTGAGCACCACCACGTCACACTAAACCCTTCTTGAATTTATCGTAACCGCTACCTTTAAGAGCAATTACGTGTACTAGGATAAGTCTTTGCAGGTAAATTGCGATACTGAATGGAGATCGTTACAGTAATGGACCTCACTTAGTGCTTCCTACTGGGCAGGCCAGTGGTCGACCACCGTATTCAAAAGCAGATGAGCCAGGTGGACAACGAATCGATTCCGAATCACCGCAGCATACAGCTTGACCAGTTGACGAGAATTCACATCTGTAATACGAAGATTATTGAGTATACACAAATACTGATTAAATCATGTAACGACTTGGAGGCATACTTGTAACCCGCCGGACAGTCGCTGTGTTCAAAGCTGCAGTCTTGCACATTACCACCGCTGGTGTATGGCTGGTTGCCATTTTTGCATTTAGGTTGAGCCAATGGACGTGCCATAATCTGAATTTGATCCTGCTAGTTGACAAAGTAGATTTTTGAAGTGTCCCAGACTCGTGGTACAGAAAACACATTATCAATTCACAGTCTACTCTAGAAATATCAGACACTCACATTGTTTCCTCCAGATGACGTTATCGATCGTGGTCCATAGAGTTGACAACAGATCGATACTTTGGGAATATTGGAAGTCATACATCGAGAATCACGTGGACAACCACCAAGGTCCGTTTGACAAATTTGCACCTCAAACATTTCCAATTTTTGAGAAATCATCTACGTAGTTAAGCTCCTCTCCTTCTAATTATGCGTAGGATAGCATGGGTCAGGATGCGCACCAACAGCTCTCTGCGCGTCGCGTGATAAAATATTCACACCGCGCTTATGGCAGCTATGACGCGCACGCGGCGAAGTTAGAGATCGTCTCGCTGCGCATGCAGTGCTGTTCGAGCCTTCGTGGTTTTTACTCGGCGAATAATTCAATTTTAGAAATTCTGATAGCTCCGCAGCCGTAAGCTCTATTACCGTATACTCCGGATACAACTGAGCCCGCAGCTATGATCACAGAAATTTCCACATACCTGTGTTCCAGAAACAAATATAGGTACATATTGTTTCATAGAGCATTTGGGTGGCCCAGTACGACAGCATGATCCATGCTCATAACCAGCGTCACGGAAGCAAAGATAGTTACGTGGGCAATCACCTGGAATCTGGCGTTTAGGAAGGTTTTCGAGATAATGCACTAGCTACTGAATACGTATAGGCCCTCACCAATAGCGTTCACTGTACAAGTTTGTCCATTGGAGGTCAGCTGTCCAGGACATGGCGAAATGCTGAAAGGTGATGCCAAAAGTGAGGAATTCAAAGGTAGTGGAATGACAGGGACGAAACTACAAAAAAAGGAAAAATACTGTATAAATGGAGTGTTCTACTATTAGACACAGAGGCTGCGTAATTCCAAACTAGAGTGCAAGCTAAAATCAGAGCTCACCTTTTGATAAGCGCAGCAAGAGTATTCGGCTCCTTTCTTGCACTTCCGAAGCCGGAAGTCGGACGGCGACTTACGGAGCCCGTTGTCGAGCAGCACATATGGAATCCAGGAACAGAACTGCAAAGTGACTTATAGGGAAACTTCTTCAACACTATTGAAATTATCAGATGTAAGAGTGGGGCAGAAGTTTGAGCGGAGACAACGCACATGGTGCGCATGCGGTCGCGTTGCGGTTCACTATGGTTCACCATTTGTGAGGTAGAGCGCTACTTGAATGACAAATTCTATTCTTAGAAAAAATCCAATCTTCTGCATTGGTCATCTATGATTCAGTAGGTACATAAGTAGGATAAAACGAACCTCGACTCAACACAAGCGTTACCTCCTGGACAATCATCGGCGTCGGCATTACAGGCAACAACTGAGGTCGATCCTGGGAAAATAGGAATAACGACTGTTTGTTCAAAGAAATGCAACCGCTAGAAACAACACGTATTGAGGAATAGTTACCAGGGATTACGTAAGGCGTTCGGTTGTCTGGACAAGATGTCACGGTCTGACAACAGATTGGCTGATTTGTCGTTGAACGCACACACGATGCTGATGGCGGACAAGTGCTCATAATATTCAATGTGCACGCCTGAATTATTCGTCTTACAATAAGGTGATTTACACTAATTTGGAACTATGGCTTAGCAGCTTTGCTTTGCAGCAATTTCCCATCAACCCAGCTCATTGAGGATACCCGATGACTGGCGCAAAGAGAGGCTCGTTTGGATAGTGAGAAATGAACTACATTTTTGTTCTCTCTTGTCTTTTCTAGTTGGACAGTGTTGCAATTTATTAACTGCAAAAGGCTAAGGAAGGTAAATGAATTCATAGTAGGCGAGCTGTTGCAGGTTGTCCACTGGTGGGGGGACGTTTAGCACACCCACAGCACAGTGTGCAGTGCAGCCCAACGGCATTCTACAAATGGACAGCCAATGAAGCCCGCCTATGGACCAGATTCAAGCAATACCCCCATATCATATCGAATTTGTGTGGTCGCTAGGTCGGTAATGAAGTTGTGGATGCCGAGTTGACTAAAAATGAAAAAAGAAGCAAAGGAAATCGATGAAGCCCTAAACAAGGATTCCCTTGAAATAAGGAAGGGGCGGGGCCAGACGAGTTGTACGAACTTGCCTGCTCCACGGCTCAACTAACCCGCGCGTATTTGAATTAGCCGCTACGCCGTAATCCACGTTGCGTGTCATGGGGTGTGCGCGACGTAACTCGTCCAAATGCTAAGATTAGTCGCCAAAAGCTGATTTTTAAGATCTAGCGCCATTGTCGCGCATTTATGAGCTGCGACAATGGCACATCTGTTTTACTCATGGGCTTCTCTATCCCACCAACTAAGTAGATTTCTCGACACGGCTTCTTCTGGGTGTAATGATTTGCGCGCTGCTTTTAACTTTGAACAGGCATGGACTCACTTTGACAACACTGTCGCCGTCTTCGATGAGTGGAGTCATGCCACGAGGGCATGATCCTGACAGAGTTGAACTAACACAAGTTGACACGCATGCTTTACGGGAAGTGAAGCGATTTGCAGTTCCTCCACATCCTAATAAATAAAAGTTATCATACATAAATAGCAAAGTGGAAGAAATGAATGAATAGGAAACTGTAAGCGTTCAGATCAGAACAAGGTGTCTCAGAAACAGACGCATATCATACATTGGAGCAGGTGTTGTCCATAATAATCTTCATTCTCTTTCATCTTCATTAAATAGGTTTATCGTTTTAGAAAACTTTCAATCGGCAGAAATAGAGAGTGGAATTCTGAGTATTGCCATTGTAAAGCTTCCCCCTTCTTCATGTACACAAGGGTACTGTAAGTATGGAGCAATCCATGTGTTGCCCTTTTCATGAGATCGTGATGCGCGTGTAAGCCACACTTTCTAGGGCGCCAGTGGTTCTCAAATTTTCCACGTGGGATATCAGGGACGCGAAATATCACGAGCATTTCGTTTCCTTCCTTGATCGGCGATGAAAAGGTTACTGAATCCAGCGTGCAAAGTAGGAGATTTTCGATGTGTCAGGTCTCACAGCACGCCGCACGATTTTGTAGTTCATAGAGCGCACTGGCAAAAAAAAATTGAGAAGGGTGTGGGTTAGATGTGGGAAGCTTCTTTTTCGGTGCAAAAACTTCACATAAGCTTGGTGATAAGGAACTATCGAAAATCGCCGCGCATGGCGACCAGTTCCGATTCCTTATGATGAGCTCCTCATCTTTTACTATTCCTCTTATTTGAAAGGGCGGAAGTGGTGTAGTGACAAGTGGCGCGCTTACCACGCGAGCGGTCCGGGGATCAAATCCTGGGTCGTGAGTCGCCCGGGCCAACCAAGCCTTCCATCCCTCCGGGGTCGGTTAATTGGTACCAGACTTGTCTGGGAGGATAAAAACACTGACTTGTACATCGGCTGGCCCCCGCAAGTCATTGTATAGGCCACATCGCATTCAAACGCCACTACGAATGTACAAATGGAAGTAGAATGCGTGCCGCATCCCAAAAAGGGATTGATCAACGGCAAATGCTTTATCCTTATCCTTATCCTTATTTGAAAAAGGCAACCGTTTGTTCGCACAATTGGAGCCCATTCCGCATCCGTACATCTCTACTGCCACATGCGCGCGGCGTACAACGAAACCTAATGGCACACACCCACTCTAGCGGTCGCAATAAAAGGGCTTTTTTAGTTGAAAATTTACATCACGAAAAAAAATGACATAAAAAAACTCACCGTTGTAGGCAAACTGGTTGCATTTTCGTTGTGTTTGGTCATAGAACCACATGGTCCGCAGTGGTGACCCAGAGCACACATTACCTCTGCTCATTGCAGAAGAGCAGGCGGTTGCTGAATTGAACATGTCTATGCGATACGCATGTTCCTCGGTACCAAAACCAGTAAAGGAATCGTATAACAGAAGTCAAAGAAGAAAGAAGCCAATCTCTTGGGAGTGCGCCACACAGTTGTTCACTTTTTCTTATCAAAAAGGTGAAGTACAGACAACACCACTGATAGGATTCAGGATTATCGGATAATATCATTTGCAATTCACTCTATGTACTATTAGTCCATTGGACGACATTGGCTCAAGATAGAACATCGTGGAAAAGAAGTTGGGACCCGCGCAAGAACAATCGCTGATAACGGGTCGCCAAGTAATCCAAGTAAGTAAGTAATTCACTCTATGCATAATCCAGAAAACATATCACAATTAAAAAATATGATGACCTAGTCTATATTCATGCCTACCGCTTGAAGGGCAACAATAGTGTTCTGGGTTGCAGTCGTATCCGGCTGGACACGGAACGGAAGTCGAACAGCGTTGAGGCAGTTGATTCGGATCCATAAGGGCCGCGGCTCCACCACACACTGAAATATTTTGAAAATTTGTGAATTCATAGCCAATAACGAAACTGGTTGTTCGGTCTTTCAGCATTTTGTATTATGCTTAAAGAAAAGCCCCAGGATAAAACTAGTGTATAAGAGTGTATCATAGTGATGGATGAGCTCGGAATGAACTGAAAGTGGGAGGAAAGCAAGAGAAGCCATTGGTAACGCTAAAAGGTCTGAGGTCTTAGCTCCCTAATAAAGTGGGATTCGGGTACGAAGGAGAAGCAGCGATCTCGAATCGTGAGAACACGCATCAAGATGAGCGATCGAGAGAGCTTATCAATCGCGTTGGGGGGGGGAAGCGTTGTAATTGGGGTCGCTGGTTGCAGCCCGATTAGCGTCACAACTGTGCATTTTTTTGGCTGGCGTGCCACTGAGGTTTTCACTATCAAGGAATGATCGTCTTATCTCTTTCACTCGTACCCCACACATCTCTCCCACGAGCAAGCAAGAAAAAACAAAGCGTTCTCAAGATGACAATCAGAACATTCCCCATGATATTAGTCTGTTTGAGCGAAAGTCATCAAAAATCCAATGGTATTACCGCTTTCGACGGAATTTAAGCAGTGATCTTGACAACTTTGCATGCTTTGGAAGTTGTTTCCATTGCCGTTGCATCCGTAGTATTGGAAGGCTTGACATTTTCTAGAAAGAAATATTATTTGGAGGTATTCAATAATTTTGTTCTGAAAAAAAAACTCTTTCGATAATCTTTACTACCTAGTCGTTGGATTGAAGTAGTATCGCTGAATAGTAACGGATCGGCCAAAGCAGGGTGTTCCAGCCGATACCATTTCGTTGCAGGTCAGCTCTGGAAAATCAAGGGTTAGGCTGCTGCCAGCATAATTTTGAATTGAAAAAAACAGACAGGTTTCAATTTTGGCTGGAAGCGTGTTTCTAGGATAATTTTATCTCCTGAACACGAATATCATGCTCATTTTGCGCAAAAACGCCTGTCTAGGGTGCTATGAGCGTCGTGTTCAGTCATGGGCGAATCGTGGCTCACCTGCAACCAGGTGCTAGCAAACGCGCAGGCAGGGAGAACAGCGCATTGACGAAATAACGTCGCCACATGACTTTTTACTCATGTTGTCGAAGAAAAACTATACACACCACCACGAAGCGGTCCCATGACCTCTCGCCTACGAGCCTGGAGCGTTACCACCTACATTATGTGCATGAATGAGACACTTGTTCGCTTGGTTTATAGTATAGTTGTAGTTTATAGCTTTCGCGCCTCCATGCGGTAGCACTCGAACATAGCATTCAAATACAGTGTTGAGGAGAAAACTTTCGTAACTCCGTTGGGAGCATCGTTTAGCAGATACGGAAAGCAGCACATAGCTCATCGTCTCGACGAAATGTGGTAAAAAACCCGTTGCGAATGATGGAACCGGCCTGTTGACCTTCCATCGTGAGAAGAACGACATTGTACTCGTCTCGATCAAGGCGTCTGACCTCGCCATTTTTGAAGGGAACGCTTCCCTCTTGATGAACCATTATGCAGTGGTCAACACGGTTCGGGTTACTTCTCAGGTAAGAAGAGTTATCGAGAAATGTTACTCACCAGGAATCGGGCAGCACACTGCAGATGGCCCGAAGACTGGACTCATGCACGAATGGGACTGAGGGCATGTGTTCGTGGCTGTAAGAGCACATACAGCATTCACGGCACCAACACGGTACGCCTATAATTGAGATATTTACTTGTAGGTTCATAGGTAATGCTAATTTTTTATATCGCTGGAAGGTCTACTGTGGCATCTCTTCATCTCTTCAGTTCTGATGCCTATAAATCAATACGTTTCTCATGATGCTCCCTTTACTTCACTTTTCGGAATGAGTCATTGAGTACCTGTCCGTGCTGGCACTGGGTGTCCAGGCAGAACCCTTCACATTCTTCGAGACTATTAAAGTTGTTTGCGTTACCTCCACATTGACTGAAATTCGACAATTACGATAACATACGGCACTATCGAATCTGGCAGCACCCACCTGAATTGGAACGATCGGCAAGAGCCAGTTGTCACATCGAAATAGTAACGAGTAATGGCTGGACGAGAGCTGGCGCATGCTACTCCGGAATGTCGCGGCAAGGAGCAGGTGTTTTCTGTGAAAAGTAAAGTTCGTTGGAAGGCGAAGAAGGAATTATTGACTCTAAAAAAAGCCAGCAGGTCAAAACTGTGCCTGCCAAAAGGTGGTTGCACCTATAGAGGAATAGGGCATCATTTGTAGTTTCAGTGGCCAACGTCAAAGTTAGCGTCGTGTGAAGGCACTTATTGCACACGATAGTTGTGTGTGATTGGATATCACAAATAATCCACCAATCACAAACATGCATCACTTCAGATGTGCTCGCTTACTAAATGAATCAGGAGCTTTTAACACTTCCCTCACCTCTTGATGGACAACAGTATTGAGAAGAACCGCTGGTAACGCATTCATATCCATCTCTGCATGGATTGTCCTCACCGCAAGACGTTGGACCTCCCCCTGCAGGTAATCCAGCTGGGCAGACATCTGCAATCAATTGAGACCTCATAGCCGTTACTGCTGTATTCGGAAGGAAAGGGCGAAAATAATTTATAAGCGATTTTCTCACTTGGTGATGAACAGCATTTTCCTTCCCTACAGCTGTATCCAGTGGGGCATGGATGTGCTGCAGTGCAGGTAGATGGAGTAGAAAGGGGGTTTTCCCCATTTGGACAAGTACCTTAAATGCTTTCAAATATATAACTAATGTGTTTGTCTGCAGTGGTGTGGGAGTGTAATGCACGATCCAAATAATCCAGAAAGGAACAGTTTTATGCCAAATGCTTTATCTTTATCCTGATCCGAGATAGACGACCCTGTTTTCGGCCCACAGTCAAAATCAGGTTCCCCACAATTTGGTCGAGTTGTTCTGTTCATGGTGTTCATGGCTCAAAAAAGGAAAAAGGAACATTCCAAGGGAGATTTTTATATTTTGATAGGATTCAGAATGAGTTCACGTTCAAAGCCTATGTCTTACCATTCCTGGCGTGCTTCACTAATACAACATGTCAGGCTATGACGACTTTTTGGGAGACTTCCAAAATACCTTGTTCTGAAATTTTATAAGCCTAATGAGAATTTGAATAGTAAACCTGCGTAGCCAGAAGTTGAGGAGCAGCAAATGTGTTTCTGGAGCGTACTGCTAAGCAAACAGGAGTATCCATCTTGGCATGAACTATAATGTAAAATGTAGGAACGTGATGTGATGTAGGAACGAAATGTATTCAGAAATGTTCCATAAAATTTTGAAACACTAGGATACAGTAATAACTTCAAGGGCAGATTTTACGATCAAAAGGCAGCCCATTGGAAATCAAGTTAGAGAGAGTCAATGATACAAGAATGAAGAAAAATTCGACAAAAGGAGCCAAAAGGGTCCTCTTTCTGGCCCTTTTGTTTGCGCTTTGATTCTCTTTTCCATCTGAGCTGCTTTCTTCGACACTAAGCTCTCTGCAAAACAGCTAGAGGTCCAGACGGCAAGGTTGGGCGTGTCGCGGCGCTAGCGGAGCAAGAAAGGCCATCTGTATAGATCGCCGAAGACGTATCCTTCAAAGGGAATTGCGTGTCGGTCCGCATCCTCAAGAGGTCCATCTGCCTCTCCACAGGTACCCCCTTCTTCGACCTTCGTCCTTCTCTTGAAATTTTCTTCGGATAATGGTGCAAAGGTGAACGAACGGAGGTGATGTGCTTGTGTGGAGCAATCAGTTGCGCGTGATCAAGAGATAGAATGGCCAAGAGTGGTAAATCTTGCCTTGTACACTGGTCGCCACCAGAAATGCACAATGTATCTGAGTGCCGCTACATTCTGATTCAAAGTGGAACACACGGCGCATCCCAAAAGAGGTCGACCAGCATCGAATGCTCACATCAGTCACATTTAATATCATAATGCAAAAGCATGTAACTTTTCTTGTTCGAACACGAATAGGAAACTAACTTTCTAGGAAATTACCAAGCAAATGACATTCGAGTGGAGAACTGGCTAGAGCCTTACCTTCGCTTTGAAGGCGAACATTCCACAATCGAATCACTGCTTGGCTGAAGCAAAGCGGCTGAGTTGTAGGGGCAGCCAAGATCTTTTCCACAACACCTTAATTTGGCCCATTTTATTCCAATTTATAGCGATTTGCCAAAGAAGGGTTGTCTTAAGGAATGAACACATTTCGATAAATTCTTCTGAGAAAAGAGAAAGCTCAAAGCATCGGGGTTCTTCTACAAATGATCGCAATTGGTAGCCTAGCATTGACTCTTTTCAGTCAAACATCAAATTGATTGAAACAGCTTTTCAATATTGCTTGTGAGCTAAAACGACAATCGCTTCGGGAATAGAGGCGCTAATTAGTTTTAATGAAGGTCCAATTTATAGCACAAACCTTGTAGTTGTGCCGCCAACCAGACTACACCTGAATCCAGCAGGGCATGACGACGGAGAAGAGAGCACACATGACCGAGGTTTGCCATTTGACTGTAAAGATATTTCGATGACATCAATAATCCAATAGAAAAAGTGAGTACTATAGTATCACTTAGGCAGCAGTAACGGAGTTACAGAAACTAAAAGTTCAATAACTTATAAGATCAGATTGGAACAAGTACAAGCTTTAAGGGTGAGGCTGGGCATGAAGCTTGGCCAATCTAGGGACCGTACCAAGTGATCGAAACAGGTATCATTACAATAACTTCACAATAACAACCACAATTTCTGGAAAGAAATTATTCTAAAGAAGGTCTGCTTCGCATAACCTCAGTATAGCCGAATTTTTGTTGCAGATTCCATATCAAGAAGAAAATCGCCTCATATAAAAAAGTTTCTGGGGAGCATTAAGATTTCCCAGTGAGTATGGAGGTCACTCAGGCATTCGAACACCTCTACTCCCTTTGAGTGAGATTTTGAGCGCACTGATCATCAAAATGTCCGTGTACACTTCTTTGACGTTGTGTTTCCCTTTGGATTTCCAAAAATACAGGAATACTGGTATATAACTTTATGTGATGTCACTAACGTTGATCCGCTAGACTAAGTAGTTTATTTACTTTCAAGAGTGGTGTGTTTGTTGACATTGAGGATGCGACATCTGTTAGACTTATCTATATTAAGACAATGACTGTCGGAAGGACCGGTCAGTGCGAGGAAGCTTAACGATCACCCGAAAAGCAAACATTATGACTATGACTCAGTGCATGGATTTACCGGAGAAAACACGCGATTACGATAGACATACATATCGATTGATGTGTGTCGAGAATTGGGACCTATTTAACACTTTAGGGAAAAAACGCTTAATATTTGGCGGGAATAATTCTTCAAGCCTTTCGAGAATGAATTTTTTATTAGGCCTACATTTCTTCTTCTACCATGCCAGAACCCGAGACGGTTAAAAGCATATGTAACTTGCCCGCTCAAAGCCTCAACTCAAGAACCTATGACTCTTTCACCAGATCAGGAAACTTTCATAGGTATAATAGAGGCATGGACTGTTGACCTTAAACTCCGCTGCTAAGACAGTAGGACACCACCCTCTTACTAACTTTAGTATGTGGTCACTATTAGTAACTCCTCCAACCTCGTAGTAGATCAAAGCTTGCAGAAGATGAGGAAAGGCGGTTTTTTGTTGATGTGTTTAAGAGGGCACGCTAAGTATGCATCCGACCATATCAAGCTCGACGAAGGTGTGGAAGCCGAAAAGTGAGGTTAATAAAAAGTTCAATTGCTAAAGGCTTGTGTTTTGAAGTATTGAGCCTTATATTAAGCATTATGTTAAGATCGCAAGAAGGACGAACATAAACTATTCTGAGGCTTGACTCATATTTGAGAGACAGAACTGTAGACGAAGGTCAAATGAGGTCATATCAGAGCAAAATTTACGAAGCAGTGGCTCTCAAGTGGAAACAAGTCACGCAAATTCTACAAAGAGCCACTCACCTCATAGTAAGCGACTTGTCCTTGGCTACAACTAGCCTTGTCAACTGGCGGCGATGATCCCTGGCAGCAGTAGGAGGTTCCAGTGCGCTCGTACATACGGCAGACGTAACCTAAATAATTAGCTAAATTTCATGTATTTGCACGGATTCTGAACGGTGCTTATCATCTGTTTAGTGTAATTGTGAAAAGGTCTACGAAATAACCTGCACAGCCGTTTGATTGACAATATCACGACTTTCTTAACATTAACGATTTTTACTGATTTTATTGTGAATACTACTATGACTGCCGATTTTTTTATTTTCAAATTTTCGCTTGAATTTTCATCATATTATTTCGTTATTTTACCTTTTACTGAACATTCGTATACTCACCATCAGGGCAACTGCTTATGCTTGGATTGCAGACAACCGGTGCTGACAGGATTGTAAGAGGTATACCTGACCCGCAGAGGTCATCTGAATGGCAGCCAGATTAAGAACATTAAAAAAGCCTTAGCAATGCTTTTGTGTTCTACATATGCTGCTTGCTCTTTAGCGTAACTGCTCGAAAATTTGCATAAGTTTACTGTAATAGTATCTCACTAACCAGGAGCTTGATAGAAGGGCTGCGAGAAGGGATCGTCATTCGCCATATCCGATTTCACAGCCGACTCACATGCGCCGGTCTCCACATTGAAAATCTTGCCTTGGAGACATTTTCGTTTTGAAAACGTACTGAAAAATCGATTTGAATTGATCGAATTTTGAAATCAATAAATCGATTCAGATCTGTAGGGAGGTACTGTATTATATTTCCAATAAGGCCACAGCACTGCTCCTTCTATACTAGCGTATTTCAACTGTTATGCAGCACGATATGTGTGTAAGTGAAAATAAAGCAGATACAAGTTCAGCCAAAGAGGGCTAGTAGCCGACGCAAAATTCTGCTCGCCTGTGCCTTTTCAGAGATGACAACGGCGTGAACAAAAATCCGTATGTTAGAAAGAATTCAGTTGGCTGAGGTGGGTGAAAAAGGTAAACTCCTTCGATATACACGAGAAGCTGGGAAACTGTGAATTCATCTATTTTGCTGGCGTGTCGCACTGCGACGCCACGACTACCCCCTCCTCAATAGCGCCACGACTACCCCCTCCTCAATAGCGGTAGTATAAACAGGCGAGCGCTCATCAGTAAAAATAGAAAGAATATTGGAAAAACGCGTCGAGCATTTAAACCACAAAGCCAAACAGGGCTTGGCTAACACCTTTGTCAGTAAGCACTCACTCTCAGAGCATTTCCTCTTGAGCTAAAATACAAGAGCTTACCCTTCAAGATTGCAGTACAAATATGACTCAGGATTGTTTGGATCCGGTTTCTTGGCGCTCGACGTGGGGTCGCACTCCAGTTTCGACCACACCAGCCAAGCACAACAAAAAAGCTGAAAGAGTCGCACCAGCTCAAATCACACATGGACGAAAAAACAAATCCTATCACTGAAAGAGAAAACTTTTTTAAGTTCATAAACTAGA